CAGCTCTTTCTCTATTTTAACAATATCAAATATCAGTAGTCCGGTGTTAACTTGACAACGTTTATTGTGTATCGATTCCCATAGGCAATGATGGTTGAGATAAATCTGCTGAATTTACGGCCACTGAAAGTTCGTATCGATGAATATTCTTACACCACAGGCGAAGAAATTCTAACAGACACGAAGATTATACATGACATCTGAAAAATTATAGAGAAGGAACTATATAGAGACAGACAATGTTTCTTAGACAGAAAGAAGGTCCGTGAGATAAGCTGATGTTGAACCATTCAGTGAAGACACAGATTCATAACAAATTTTTGGTTGAGATGATAACACTTTTTCACCTTACTGAGTTATTAGATTGTTTGGCATTTTTTCGTATCTGCGTTAGTTAAGAATAGTTGTGAGAATAGTTGCTAATGATTCATAGTAAATGATGAAAAATATTTGAATCCACCGTTATGACTCTGCAATTTGTTTTTTTACTCTATATGTATATAGTACAGAGAAATCACAATATTTGGTCTAAAAAATCCAGAATGCTGTTGCCTGGAGCTGGAGCATAATTACCTTTATTAACAGTGTCATTTCTGTATTTTATTGTTATTACGTGTTCAAACTTCATAACTCTTGCACATATGACTCCATTCAGCCTATTATTCCCTAGTCTTGTGGAATTATCAAGGAGAACCAGGGAGGCTACGAACAATGCAAATGTTAATCGGATGAGGAGACAAGATCTCCTGTGTTGATATTATAGAATGAATACATTTTTATTAATCGTTCTGCGGTCTCGACAGATTTATGCGACATCTTTTATAATTTACATCGCGGATTAATTGTCGATGCAAAAGATAATACAGACGCAAAAGTTATTTGATTGTATGGTTAGATCGGCGCGTTGTTCCTTGGACGTGATGTCTGTCTCCCAGAAGTAGGCGGTCATTGTTATCACGGCAGGAAACGAGATCTCGTTTCGAAAGGACGAACTTGTTTTAGAGGATAATAAGAATAATAGATTATCGTATTGATTGCAGTATAGTTGACAAGACTTCTACACTTAATTATAGATAGACACTGGCAATTTATTCCAAAGCGCAGAACAGTTATTAAACTAATTTCAATTCATTGCTGCAAAAGAACAATCATACTGTTTATTCAAAATCTGGAACTGCTAATACATATTTGCCATACTTTGATAGATGTAATATTTGTTCATTTCTGTTATTTGTTATTTTGGTAATGTTCACCAAGTATTTTGCGCTAGTGTACAACCTCTGATATGAGGATAAGAAATCATCAATTTGTAAAAGCGTAGAACAGTGTATAATTCTGTTTCAAATCGGTGCTGCAAAGATATTAAGAATTTTATTTTAAATTTTGAAATATTTTAATTTAATCCTCGCCAAATATTGATCGAGGTGCTTAATGTGTTACAATTTTACCTTGAATTTTCTCCAATATATCATCTATTAAATTATTTTTAAAACTATTAATATATTAGGCAATTAGAGCTCTAATAGTGCCTGTCCAAGTTCATAGAGTTCATGATTATAAAAAATTATAAAAGATTTCTAAATCTAATGGAGTTTTGCACCATTCACTGCTTTTATGAATATCTCCTAATTATATTATTACTAAAAATAATGATTTATGTAAAATCAATGTGCTTCTGCATCTATTGCAGAATATGCCTCGTTTAATAATGTATTACGAAACGTGTTTCTGAGTGTTTCTTACGAGTTCAAATATATATAATTATATTTTAAATGAACACATTTTCCAACATTACCTATACAATGACTATAAAACCTTATACTTAGCTATTTATTATAATATTCCGACTATCCAGATCTATATTTAAACTATTTTATTTTTGCTATCAATTTATCACTGCGAATTACTGGATATTATCGACCAGAAACGGCGCTAAATTATAAATCTGTCTTTAAACGATAGTGAAAGTGCTCGGATGTTATGGTTTTATTTCAATCATTTATTTTTGACGAACAAAATCGACGATTATTCGAACTGTCGAATCTTACCAATCAAGTTTTTTTAATAATCCCAAAATCTTCGCGACTGCGAAGTCAACAGAAAAAAATATTCATGGAATAATTTATACCGAGAGAAATGTTTTATTTTAATTCGATGAATGTTGTTTGTTTGTGAGTGGTAGCTCGTTAATTAGAAAGACCGAAATGTTATATAATGGTTTAATGATAGTTTCTATATATGATCGGATGTATTTTTCGAATCTTCAATATTGACTTATCTATCAATGAAGAGATTACATTATTATTTATCAAAGATGCTGAGAATTAGTCTGCTTCAAATAGGAAGTTTGATAATAATTTCAATTTATTAAATTTATTACCGAAGTTAAAATCGAAACATATAAATTATCAAAGTAATAACCCGTAACTTTTACTTGACAATTTCCACCTTTCTAGAACTGGAAACTTACTTGATTTATTACTCTTGATTGACTTACAAATTTTGACTTTGGATAGAATTTAATTACAGACATCGATTATTAGATATATGATAATAATACATAGATTTTTTATGATTTTATATAGTGTACTTCTATTATATTTGTAAAAAAATCAAATGATTAGACAAAAATTGGATTTTTTGAACTATCAGGTTTTTTACATTTTTTAAGATCCATGACTTATACTATATTTTAATAAATTAAAATAATATTTTAAAATTAAAATAATACATTATTAAATTAAAATAAGTGAAAATTGCTCTATATAAACTTGCATTTTTTTATCTTACTAGGGCCTGGAAATTTTTTATACTATAATTACTATTTTACCATAATTTTAAATATTCCATTTCGTTGAAAACATTAGTACAATCATCAATATTTACTCTACTTTCATTATTTTCCCCATTCACATTCCTCTCCATGATCGCACATGTATATCGGCACGCGTGGGCTCAGGCCATTATCATATTTAAAGTCCCTAGACGTGCAACTGTTAAAATAATTATCAATTTCACACTTTCGTTTTCTAAATCTTTATCTAATCCAGTAAATTGTAACGGACTGCGGATATAAATGTCGACCAGAGGACCCAATTACATACTGACTACTACCGCCGTAGTCTATTTAGTTGACTGGGTTTCGATATGAAATCAATTTTTCTATTTTTACTCGGTTACGCAACGAAAAAAATATATAATGCACAGGAGGAAAAAATATAAAACAACGACAACGATTGCAGCCAACCGAGACGGATTTGCTATTATTCTCAATCTTGAAGACGGAAAAAATCTATGCAAGATAAATGATTGATACTGATGCATTTTTAAATAAGTAAATTAAAGTATCATTCATTTTTGATTGAAACAAACATTAGATTCAATCGGTATATTACGATGTCTACATCAATTTTCTATAATCAAAACTGTTGTTTTTATACGAATTTTGTTTCGTTCCAAATCTCTACTTTATCAGTAATTAATTTATTGCTTGCAAATTTGACCAAGATTGTGAAATTAGATTATATGCGGTTATACTATGCAAAATGATGAGCAATAATTCTCTAAATGCCCAAAAAGTTAACATAAATTGAATTTTGGGATAAACTTAATACTAAAAAAAATATATAAGAAAAATTGCAATAAAATACTTTTAGAAAGTTTTATACAATAATTATGTGTATTAATATGCTAATACAACTATAAATAAATATACAATGCATTTTTGTTCATAATTAAATCTAACTTAATCGATCAACTACTGCTGGAAAAAGTACTGGTTCAATAAAAATTGATTAAATAATAAAATAAGTTGCAAATTGATTTCTTTTAGTATTAGCTTAAAAGGTTATGATGTATTTTTCAATTTTATATATATGAATTTATGTTGTTTCAAATTTGATTGAACATTTTTTAAGCTCATGAAACTTAAAGCTTAAATGCTGAAATGTTTATGTATAATTCATAAGAGTAATTCATCCAGGATTTAAAAAAAAGTTTTATTTGAAAAAATGGACTTAATATTTAAAATAAATCAATGAATAATTATACTCATTTTCTCATTATATCCTAAAATTAAGTGTGAGATTTTTTATAGATGTTCATTTTTTTCATGAGATATGATTTGAATTGGACTCAGTATTTACCAAAAATCAACGAATAGTATTCTAATTTAAATTCAAATTTATTCTCATTTACTCATTCTATTGATATCAGGAAAAGCTTTTCAAATGCTAAAATGAATCGTTTTAGAATCGCTTTTTCAGTACGTGATGAACATTTGCGTGTTCGTAGTTATCATGACAACTTACAATAAAATCAAAATGCTTGTTCTTCCTTGAAAATACAGACTTATTGCATGGTGTTCTGAAATAAGTATATTGACAATACTACGTTATTTTTTTAATAGGAAATAAAATACAAATCAAGAATTATTCCTTGCAATTTGAATAAATATCTGAAAATATATTGTTTCACACAAATAAACTATGCAGACTCTATAATTACAGCATTATCCATTATTATTTTATCCAAAAGCTCTGTTTCCTTCTTAAGCTTCTGAATGATCTGACCATCTTCAAAATAAGTCATTTTAAGTGGGAGTTTTCCTCACAATTTGCATGATTTTTTTATTATCACAATAAATTTATCATTCAATAATTTGCATGATGTTTTGTGCTAATTGCAATCCATTTGTGTGTATGATGTGCCGATGAATGCATATTAAATGTGATTAAAATTAACAGAAGATTAATACTTGCATTGTTTATTAATAATCATGTATTTCTGCTAGCTCATGTATATATGCTAATTCGTACAGGTTAATGTGTCTATATACTTAGATTTATTTTCTTTTATTTGATTAATACAAAAATGATTTATTCAAAGATATGTAGTTTCTCAAATTTTGTCCAATTGATTTAGATAAATATTATTGAATATTTTTCAAATTTTTCTGTTTTTTAGCAATTTTTATATGATTTTCTTTTCTTTCTCGACAGCCCAAGCAGCAAATGTTAACTTTATGTCGCACGAACCGGATTTGAAATGGAACAGAGGTCAGTTAATCGTAAAATTGTTTGGAAACCAGACTGTAATTTGCCTTCATTAACACTTGAAACTGGGTTAATATTTTTGAGCATAAAATCAGGAACTGTAGACTTAATTTCGTGACTAACTTTTAATTTTTTACTTGAAGGTTTTATATTCAGTTTTTTATATTACACTTTATTTAAAAGTGAGAACAAATTTATATTTGTTAGTCGCATGTTTAATTGTTATTATGTGTTTGAATTTGATATGACCAAATCAGAGGATAAAAGAAAAATGCACTCAGAATCAAGGGAATAATGGGATTTATCATGAATTGTGCACACTTTTCAAAATATTTTCATGCAATTCAAAAACCTTTAAAATTGTTTTTAAAATGAGACTGTCTGCAAATAAAATCTGTTTACTGAAATAGATTCTTTTATTCCCTGGTGTGATTCTGCATGGATTTTACTTATATGCTTTGAGGTAGACGTTGAATGAAAATAAATAAACAAGATATTCAGATTAATATTTAAACAATTTGTCTAAACATCTGAAAAATAAGTTGATGTACATCTCTTAAGACCGTTGTGGTGTAATTGTTAAGAACGTATGCTATCACAAATGCAAGTTTCGGATTCGGTCCTAACATTGGCCAGCTTGATAATGAGCAGTATGATATCAAATTTTTACTTGAGGTTACAAATCTCAAATATTTCGTGGACATTGCTGCAACATATTGTTGTGACCAAATATTAATAACTGATATATTAGGAACACACTACGTAATGAATCATATTCTAAATTGCATAGCATTTATCATAAGAAATAGTTACATTGTAATAAACTTTTATCGATGAATTCCATACAAGGCACTAATTTCCATGATATTCGAACCGGTAGGAACTTGATTTGCACCCACACATATAAAGATATTCTATTGATCATATCCAAAATCAAGGGAAGTCCCTATAACTAAAGAAAATGTTATATAATATAAAGCCGAAATATAACTTTAAGTGGGCAGTTGTGTAGATTTCGTGTAGATCACAACATCTCAGAGTTATAAATGTGAGAGAAACTAAATGATTTCATGAAAAGTATTATGTTTAATTTAAACTTATATTTATATTCACTATAACATCTAACGAAATCGGTTGATGAAGAGAAAAGATAATCGAGCTTCAACATTTATTTGGTGGCAGCGGTGGCCAACAATATATATGCCAACAGCATTAGATAGCACACCCAATATGTGATTACACATATAAAAGAAGAGTTGTTGACCGCTGGGTTGCCCATTAGAGAAATATACTAGTATGATAGCATAGAACACGTTCTGATGGCTGTTGAAAATCTTTTATCCAATTTCATTGAACCGAGTCAACGTCAAGACCGAATATTTTTGCGGTGTGTTTGCAAAGATCTCGAACTTCAAAAAACGAGTTTTGCACATTAATAGTATAAGAGTTGATTGATTGTTCAGTAATAGCTCTCGTACTGAATCTCGTTTCGCGCATTAATTGTGTGTACAAAGCTTTAGTTGTCGTTACTTTATACTCTGCGCCGCCGCCTAGTTCAAGGTTGAAAATTACGTGTTGTTAACAAATGAGACACGAACGACCGTGCTCCATGTTGCAGATGTACAACATATGATTTTTATAGTAAACGTGATGGAATGGAATTTAATGAGCATCTTTCATAAGATTACCGGGATAAATAAAAACTGCTATTACTAAATTTACTGTTCCAAAATTTTATTTGTTGTGTTCTTTCTCTACGACCTCATAATTTAGGGTTTTTACTATTTTTATTGTTTGACCATTTAAGCTTAAATTAGGTAAGGATCTCGGAATTCGAGATACCCAGATGTAAATCTGTAAATACTTCTTGTATATTGACACCTAAATGTTGTCTCAAAACCTACTTACGTATGCCAGGGTGTACGCAGTACGCAACATATGTTGGTTTTGAGACAACTTTTAGCTGTGAGTATTTATAGACATATAGGTGGGTATCTCGAATTCTGAGGTAAACTTACTACAATCACTGGACTAGTTATGCTAAGACTTCTTCAGTATTACGTGCTTTTCCACGATAGCTCTTTTAATTCTTAAATCTTAAATATACATACGTCTAATATCTGAGTTTATTTCTCTATTTTTGCGTTTGTGCTCTCTTCGAAATTTTTTTGGAAGAATTATCAAATGTTGATCTATTTTAGATGCTTTAAATTAATTTTGAAATTAAATTTCTGTTTAATTTTTTAACACCGGCTGTGAATTTACAATCATGTAGCTAAATAGTACTTCACAACAAACATTGCATCAATATTATATTTTCTCTTGCAATTAGAAGAACTTAAATCTAAGCATCCATCAACATACAAGAAGTTTTTGCAATCATTCATCCAGTAGGATTTTCTTAAGTACTTAAACTTACATTAATATATAGCTTTAGAAAGTTTTTCACTATAATAAGTATTTAATACGTTGATTTGAATATGAAATAAAATTGCAATAATTTTTTTATGCGTGTGCGTAAATACTAAATCAATCCCTTTTGTGGAAATAAAATTCAGCTTAGGAGTAACTTTTAATTTACTAGGTTTTGGGCAAACTCGCGTAGGTACTTAGTAAAATTACAACTTGATGTTTTGGGTTTTTTAATTGAATTTTTGTAATTAGTATATGCAAACCGCTTTACATTTTATGTTTATTGCGTATTGTATAAAATTTTCTTTCTTTATATGATTTTTAAGCATTTCCAACGGACTGTACTAAAGACATCATCCAGCAACAAAAGAGTTGAATTTCGGCGGGAACCACTTTCACTATACACACGTGTACATAACTCTGCGAATTGTATATTTACTTTTTTTCTATACATGTATGTTTATATACACATATATACATATGAATTTATTTATATATACGTTATTGTGTGGGTTTTATTACAATCGAGATAGCTATCGTTTTCATTTTATAGTTAGACGATGAATTTAGACATCGAAAAGTTCTCTAACGCTTGTTAGAATCAGCGAAAGTTATTTTTTTGGCAACAATGCTAATTCTTAGACAAGATTATCTCAATTAATTATATAAGTAGAAATAAAATTTGATTCAAAAACTTTGTTTAATGGAAGATTTAACTACTACAACGTCTTTGACATTGATCGAATGTCCCTGAGCGCTCAATAAATTATAAGTGATGATTCACAAATTGCATTCATATTTAAATATTCAATAATTAGAATTTACACAAATAAAATCTGCATAAAAACTTTAGGATTAATTAACATAGTTACTCTTACATGAATTTCCATAATGCAAAATCAAATAATTATAAAAATTATGTTTTTGCCTTTTGCAAGTTTAACTGTGATTTTTTCCTCATAGACCACACAGATGATGTTTAGAGATTTTTTAAGCAAAACGTGACCACAACATTAGTAAATTCATTGTTTTCACTCTGTTGTGATATGTTTTAAATTGTTGTATAGGCCTTTGTTCGTGTTCCCTAAGGTATAAAGTCGTGAACGAGAAAGTTTCAATGCTATTATTTTGTTCGTTGGTCAAAACTGTTTCGACACATTCTTTTTTAGCCCAGGTTAGTTATTTTGTTCACTTTTCAACTCAATGAGGCATGAAACACATATCTTTTTATATAGTTAGAATTTGCAATTAATTATAATACAAATGCGAATATTTTTTGGGGCGAAAGTGTAGTCCATTCCAAATATTATGATTTTGCCACACCATTGTTAATTAACATATGTTCTAATTAAATACTACAAAATAGTATAAGAACTCATTGCAACATGTAATTTACTCAACTAATTCTTTTTGGAAAATATAAATTACCTATTAGTTTTGAAACACCACCTACAAAATGATAAGACTGGGTATTTCTTATACATTAGTAAAAAAAAATTTTAATGTGGTTCACATTGCTTTTTGATCATCTTTATATCAAGTTCCAAAATATATTGCAGAGATTGTGATTTTTAAAAATATTTATCAAAACTTTATTTTAAAACATTTAACTTCCTAAATGTATTAAATTCCATCACTAAAAGTTTACGAGTACCTTTAATAGCAATCAAATTATTAAATTTGATAAGAATTATTATTAAAGTTTTGCTACTAAACGATCAACACATACAATTTTACGCTTTGTTCATAAATTTATGTGTAAAATAAAATCATCGTCTATCAAAAGTAATTACGGATGTAATTAAATACAGGTAGCGTTTGAAATTGCAGTAATGGATACCGTTGCTTCCTATATATTGTATGGAATTTTGTAAATAAGGAAATACTTTGATCGTTTAAATGGATGCAACGTATTATAAAAATCTATGTATTGAATTGAATTTTTGAAAATATTTGCCTTATTGCACATCTAGAAAAATGCGTGGAAATCAATCATTATCGTCTACCGAATGAGTTCTTACTCTTTTTAAAAGTGGATAATCCAATTGATTTTTTTTGTAGGAATATTTTCAATAAAGATATCTAGTCTCTCGAGTCTATTTAGATTGGAAATTCTCCAGAGCGAAGTAATGAATTCAATTGAAGCAATTAAAACGCCTTTTTTTAATTCGTATTAAGAAGTAATTGAGTTCCGCGTCGTTTGAAATTACGACGGTTGTAGTTTTTTATATTTTTGTGATCACACGCAACTTGTTAATGCAAATGTATATAAAAAGAAGAAGGTAAATGTAAAAACATACTAATAGGTGAGAATTATACGGACTTGGTTTATGGGATCGACGTTTTTGTCATTTAATGTGTTTTCGCACAAAACATACAATAAATATATAATTTATTGTTGAATATTACACAACATTTCGTATTAATGAAAGTATGTGGAGTTTTATTGTATCTCTGACAGATATTAGCCTTTCTGCTGTTAACTCTTGCTGTAAACACTGATCCAAATGACCTATCCTAAATTGAATACTTGAGATTTCTCTCCAGATTTATGAGGATTAAATACAAGAACAAGAATAAAGTATTATAATTGAAAAAAAATTAGTTTCACGATTGATATATGTTCATGCAAAAAAACTTAGCTCTATTAAGTAAAATCATGCTTACTGATACAAATGTTATAAAATATCATATTTAATCAACAATGTTTGTATTGTTAGTAGACATATAATAAGTATTTTTCAAAGCATCGTAAATATTAGAGATTAGTTACATATTTTCAATTAAAAAATATGTTTTAATGTAAGTCGCCTTCTACTGAGTATCCCAAAGGACCAGTTTATTGAAGACTATTTTTAATTTGAATTCTTTTTGGTATCTCAAAGAACTATATTTAATTAGAAACATATTTTTCAATTGAAGGAGACTTCCATTGTAGTGTATCAAAAATTTTTTTTCAATTACGCACCACGTTGTCGTCACGACAAAACATTTAAAACGCTATTGTATTTCTATTTCTCTCAAAATTAGAGGTATTCAACCTGACGCAAATTACATAGCGTCTCTTCTTTTTACTTTCATTAAAACAAAGACCTCTCTACAAAACCTAAAATCCCCATCATCGAAAAATGATACACGTCAATAATACTCGAAACGCTAGCGCGAACATTAATCAAATTCACTTTCACCTTCTGAAAAACATTTGAACCGTTGCCGAAATTTATCAATCCCGTCGCGGCGCTTGGCTACGTGCACGAGAAAACACTCTCCAAAAATCAGCCAAGTAACCGAAGTATGGTAGATACTAACACGAAGGCAAAAACAGAAAAAGAGACTCGTGTGAGGAAAAAGGCGACGTGATTCGGAAATCGTGCACACGCCAAAAACCAGATATTCAGGGAACTTGTTTTGGATTGAATGTAATTGTTGAAAATTTAAAACGTACAGGGAATACCCAATAATGCAATAGCAGTTAAATGTCCTGCCCTGGAAGCATAAGGCAACAGATTCAAGCCAGGGTTTTATTTTCACTTAGAAATGTAGTTCCAAAATATGTTTTTCATTGAAAACTGAACTTTGGGCACTTCGGGTTCGAGCTATTCGATATTTCT